TATGATAAGTATTAGCAGAGAAATTTTTGGCAGGTAATGATTTGTATAGAATTGTATGCAAATAGATTGTTTAATGAACTGGACAACTTCCGTACTGACCGGACCGAAAAAGCCTTAAATCGTGTAGAGTCCTTTATCCTGTATTGGACACAGGCTGAAAATATTTTTTTTATTTATTTGCCACTTACAACCTTATATACTTTTGTATTACCTAATACAATAGTGTATAATGATAAGGTAAGTGGAGAAATCGTTGCCTACCAAGGTAAAAACTGGTTTTCTTTCTTAATAGCTGGTTACAGGTGCCCACGGACGGCAGCGGCCAATTATAGCAGATGGACTGGTAGCTCGTTAGCTAGAACTAAGCAGAAAGTCTTTTAATTTAACTATGTATATAAAAAACTGTCATAGAATGCTTTGTAATATTAAAAACATTGTTTTAGCACTAATATTTTAAACATGCTGTATATGCATATGGTAATAAATACATAAAGGTATTTTTTTACAATTTAAGAATATTAAATATTACTAATATAAATAATAAATATGTATATACCTACACAGGATGTTTAAATTACAGTTAAAAACAATGTTATTTAACTGCACAGTTAAAACATTTTAGATACAAATTTTTTAACATACTGGTTAAAGTTTTTTGTCTCTGTTGTTTGTTTATATCCTTTGTTTCTGTTTTGACTCCTTTAAAGTAAATAAATAACATAATTAATTTTTAATAACTATTTCGATAAATAGTTGCCGTAATAAACTAGTATATTACCCTAATACGACATTTCACCCTAATAAAATTTAAATTTATGTTAGCAAAGTGAATCCTTTGATACAATTATGTGACCCTATTATAACGGCAAACAGTGGTCGAAACACATCAAAATTATGACATCTTAATCGTCAATTATGAGTGACGTATTGCATTGTAAAATTAGGTTTGAGTGGCTTTGGCCTAAATGTAACACAAGATAATAAAAAATACGGATTATGACGATTTTAGCCTTGTTTATTAACCCTTTTTTTTTAAATGTTTATTAAAATTTGTGATATTATAAATTTTAACATATAGAGATTAGAGTTGAAAATTGTTTAAATACATTCTCTGGCATCTTCATCTGGCATCTGTCTAAATCGATGTATTGTTGTCATCAAACTAGTTCCGGAACTTAAACTTCCCGTGTCCGTTTTTTATCTAAAGTAGAATTTAATGAATAAAATTATCTGTAGGATGTTTGAGTACAAGGGTAAGTCACAAGGGTTAGCGTGATCTAATTTTTCTACGGTTTGGTTACAATAACAAGTATGAATAAGGGCTTATAAGGGGTTGGAGGATTAAACCTTACAATATGCTGATCATAATAATATTGTTATTAGAATAGAAATAGAAGAGAATAGAAATGTCCATAAAATTATGAAATAATTATACCTAGTGAAAATAAAATAATTTTAATTTTGTTAAGTTACTCCGTACGTATATGTATTGTGCGTAATATATAGTATATAGTAGTATAACTAATCAAAGATGTAGGAACTTTATTTTCTTGAAGATTAAACATTTTTTAGTTGTCCATCAATATTAAATAGCCAGTTTTTGACGGTGATCTCCGAAAATGATACCACAGTTGCTTTTACTGGGACTGAGGTGTTTGACGTCCCGATGTCATGGCTCGGCTTCTTCCGACCTTCAGTTTTTTAATGTAAATTTTTGGTCCGATCTACGCAGAATGAGCTTACAGTATCTTGAAGTCTTGCAGTGGTATGCTTGGGTTTGGATTTAACTTTATTAATTATAGAATCCCAAGCAGATGGCAGCACTCATCCATCTTCTCTATTGAAATTAGGATGTTTTTTTTAATTTCAATAGACTCGCGAATCATCCTTGGTAGGAATCGGTATTCTTTTGCGAGGATTAATTTGTGGTCTATCAAATCTAATGTAATGGCGGGGACGATCTAGGACATGTTCACACACAGCAGACATCGCGGAACGTCGGTGCTTCAAAAGTTAAATTAAAGGCGATATAATCCGTAAAAATTTTTTGTGTACTCTTCGCGTAAATATACGAAATCATTAATATACCTAATATTGATTTTAATAGTCCTTTTATTTACTCTTCTGAAACTATATCATCCGCTTTTAGGTGAAGCGTCATAATTAAGAAAACCCTGTATTTATCTATACAAATAAATAAAATTGAAGTGTCTGTTTGTAATGTCAAAGTTACAGTTTTTTACTAAATGCATATGGAAGTAAATACGGTACCTATAACTAAAATACAATTTTTAAAATTTTTGTCTGTCTGTCTGTCTGTTTGTTCCGGGTAATCTCCGAAACGGCTGGACCGATTTTGACGGGACTTTGACTGGCAGATAGCTGATTTCACAAAGAGTAACTTGGGCTACTTTCATTTTAGAAAAAGAATTATTGTTCCGCGCAAAAACATAAAAACCCTAACACGCGAGCGAAGTCGCGGGGAACAGCTAGTTAGTTAATAACATCGCATTAAAATTTTGTTTTTTAGGTATAATACAAAATGGAAAAATTATGCGTTTTTGAACATTAAACCTACATTAAACCTTTTTGTATCTAGAAGTTATCATCACTGTGGTTACTAAGTTATAAACTATTTGATTATTCATTACATACTTAAAACCGTAATAAGAAAACAGAAAAAATAAACAATTGTGACTGAATGGCATTTTTGCTTTCCCCAGTAACGTTGATGTCGAACCGAATTTAGTTCACTTAGCGACATCTATCGACAACGCTATGTAAGCATTTCACTAAAAGCATGATTGAGCGTTCTCCACCTAGGTAATTGATAATTTTTATTTTGTGATTTAATTGTTAAATTATATTAAATCCCACGTTATAATATTAATATATTAAAATATTATCTACCTACCTTCATAAGCCCGTATAGTCCACTGCTATATAATACGTATACGATAAGGGCCTCTACTGTTTTAGGGATTTGTAAGGGGGTGAGACAACAATAATTACATAGAGTATATCAGACATCTCGCGCCTTGGACGCTGCTGCCGGTGGCTGGTCTGGGTATTTTTACCTACGTCTGGCGTAAATGAGATAGTATTATCGCCATCTATCGGAAACTATAAAAAAATATTCATTTTCAAGAGTGATCGATTGCCATAAGCCGTCATACAATCGTACAGTAGTACAGCCTAGGTAAGTAATGTAATAAGCCCAAGGTAATATTTAAACTTAATTATTTGTCACTTATCGAAAATAATGTACTTATTTATATCCTTTCATTAAAATAAATAAAATCATCTTCTGTATATTATTATTTGCAAAAGGGGAGAAGGAAAGGTTTTTATTAGTCGCATGTAGGGCTACCATCGACCTATTTTCCCGGGATAAGCATCGATTGTACATGCAGCAATGATGCAGCAGCATATTATTATTATTAAACAAATTAGCTAACAACACCTTCTGTTGAGTAATTACTGCAGTCTATTGACATCTGGAACTAATTTTATATTTTATTTAATTAGATAAAAAAAAATGCCTCACAGCCTACAATTACTATAGGTCACCATTAACCACACCCCTCAAACCGGAACGCAACAATGAATGCTCTTATATAGTATAGGAAGAATAGGTATACGTTGCCACTCCAATAACTTAGTCTGAAGATTTTCTTCGTTGTTTGCTTTTTTTCGTTGTCGTAAGATTTTTTTTTCGTTAATTGGAAAACGTTGCCTCAATTATTCAGGCTGTACATATATGTACATATGCCTATTGCTTTCATTTGCTGCTATAATTGAAAATCCGTAAAAGTTAATTCATAGCTCTTCCAGTTATTATAAGTAAACATATTTCCTTTTTTGTCCTAAATTTATTTTAACGCACGGTAGCCCTATTTCTTAAGGTTTGCAGTTGATGCTGATTTTTTATTTTGACAGGAATGCATCGTATGGAATGCGGGTCGTCGAACTTTATGGCGGGAAAGTAAAGAAAGGTTTTACAATTTACAGAATTTTATGTAATACAAACACTATTGGAATATATTTTTATTATATAATAGAATAGAATTTATATACGCCGTGTTAATAGAATCCTTACTTTACTTTTATATTAAAAGTAAAGTAAGGAAAAAAGTAGGTACTCAATTTTAAAGGTCAACTAAATTAGAATATATGGGTATATTTAATATAATATGTATTTAATTTTTCCTAGATATAGCGCGCAAGTGAAATGTAGTTTGGACGGTCAAATGACAAGGAATAAGGATAAACACAATAGGTATAGATACCTAAATCTAATACACATTAAGTCAATCTAGTGAGTGACTCCTAAAACGCAAAAGCTCAATACCTAAATAATACAAGTACGAAGTACGAACCAATTCATCAGTATAGCTCAGTTATTTCTGCTACGCGCCACAAACCGCTGTCTAAGGAATGTTGACTGACTAGCTTCCAAAGGAGCAGCTGCGAAAAACAATGAACGAACGTTCTACCACGAGAAGGATCGCCGGCCGAGTGAAGCAGAAGCAGTGAGCAGTGAGCAGTGAAGAAGATAATACAAATACAACAGCCAGTAGAACTACGTAGGCTAGCTAGCTAGCCGACCGACGCTCGCCTCGATTTTCCTCCCACAGCAACGTCAGAAACCGCGCCTAACGCACACAGCTTGAGTTACTCACACATACAGCGTGTACTCGGTAATGCCGCTGCGCTGATTTCCTTCCTCGAGTACTTTGGCGAGGCGCGAGACGCCGGATAATTTTTGCTGTTACTGCTTATTTAATCCCTTATTTAACTAAGTTAGCGTGCATATAGTACGAGAATTGATATGTGAACACCTCCGTGCGATGTAATCGGTAGGACGAAACGTATTTTCAGAGAATTTCGTGAATGGCTTCGAATTAGCCGGGCCGCGGGGTGAGGGGCACGGCGCCGCGTCAAAGCCCGGAGTGCGAGCGGCGACCGCTACTCGCTCGCTTCCTCGTGCCTCGCGAACTAGTCGTGTCCACGGCGCCAACCGAAAAGCACGCGCGGCAGTCCTTAGAACCGGCCGGCACCCGAATAATGTTTCAGTGTCTGACAAACTCAATAGGAGGTCTCGGAAGAAGTACCGTATTTAATTTACACTGTATAACTAACCGCATATTCTTAGTGAGTGTCACACAGTGTGTACGGAAAAAACTTTGTCGAAGATTCTGAAGAATTCTGTGTAAAATTGTGTAACTCGCCGGCCCCAGTCGGATCGCGATTTGCACAAACTTTACGGTAAGCTGCTTTACTTGTTTGTGTATATACAAAGTGGTTGTGTACATGAATTGTTCCTAAATTGAGAATTACGATTGCATTTATAAGTGCGGGTAGATAGGTATATATTATCTATACCTTACGTATAAGTTGCCGGCGGGGCGTTGCCGACTATGAAAATGAACGTTGGCTTGTCGGCGTTTCTGCGAATTGCCGGCACCCAAATTCCTTACATTGCCGCTATTTGAACACAACTTACAAATTTATATTTGGGGTATTCAAAAAACAAAAAAAATACCTTCATAAATTATGTAATTTATTACTATTTACATTTTAGTTTCAAAGATAATTTTCGTTGCACAACTGATATTTTTAGTTATGAAACATTTTTATCGGACCTCAAATAAATCGATGATAGAAATATTAGAAAAAAATTATTTGAAATTAACGATTATATGCCATTTATACAATTTTGTAATTAAATTTTACAATTTTTGATTTTTTTTTTGATTGTAACCTAATTTGCAATTTAACGGAGAATTGCACAACTTTAAGAAAATACAATTTGTATTAGTAATATGGTCGATACTCGAATGAAAAAAATACTCATAGTAAATAGGAGGGAATTGTGTTAACTTTACCTATAATAAGGCGACATAAATGTCGTTTTTATAATTAATAATATGATTATTCACATCTACATAGAACTATACTTTGAATTAATTTCTAATAGGTACATATGTGAAATATTATATATAATAGACTATAAAAAGTTTTATGCGTTATAACTGCCACAGCCTCTTATTAAATTTAATAATTTTCGAAATTTATGTGATGTTTATGACTACTAAATTTGCTTTTAATATAAATACAATACAATATTACCTATAATATTATTGTCTAAATTTTCATATTATATTGTTAAAGATTTTTTCATTTTTTTCGGCAAAGGTTTTTCAGCCTCCAGCCAAAATAGGCAAGATACCCTGTAACGTAATTAATCGTTTAATAAATTTCTTTACTTTTTGGGACAGATACATGATGTTTTTTTTTGTCTAAATAAAGTGCTACAAGTATCGGCAGTGCCACTTGTTTTTACATTAAAACCATTTGGCAGGGACTAGATGTGTAGCGTCGTTTTATTGGTAAACACTTCTTTCGCGCCATTTCACGCTTATAAACAAACGCAGTTTTTGCGTGAACGTCTACCTGGCGTGAGACAATTGTTTGCAGAATTACTGCTATACCCATACCCATATTCAGGTATAAAATTAGAAAATAGGCGGGGGTGTATGGCAAGGACAATAATTGTAAAAACTGGAATAGGCTTCAAGGCCAATGTACCCTTTAAAACAGTTCGTTTACAAATCCAGACTTCAGTCTAGTTTTGGGCTCCGCGGTGGACGCTACCTGCTCTAGTGTTCAATCGAGACTTGTTTGTAAATACAAGGGGTCAACAACACCCCTTCAAAATATTTGTATTGTTTCAGTTTATTTAATGAAGACACTTGTGATTGTCTATCGTAGTTTATTTTATTAATGAACTTGTGCAATATATAAAAGGTACATGATAATATGTAATTTTGATGCAACAATTTTTTTTAAATATTAGTTTTCTAACCTCTTAACAAAAACAAACAATATAATTGAGCCATTAGTTAAAATACATAGTAAACAATAAAAGATAAACAGATTTTTTATAGAATAAAGAATAATATGTGGATTCTGTGGCCCATATACATCTACATCTATTCTCGATTAAGAATCAAAATGCGGATGCGTTGTACCTTCAGGATTAAGAGGGATCGGATGCCTCTTTCCTTTAAAAATGGTCACCGGTCCTCTTAATACACCATACGATAAATAGCAGCATTTAGCATTTAACGCTGGTATTCTGTGAGTGCGTGGTCTTTCCCCAATCGAGCCGACGCATTCCTGCTACAACCATAATACAGCTGCAGCACATCTCTACCACTTAATAGATTTTTGTGTTAAATATTAAATTATTATGAAGGCAATAATGATTTTTTAAGAAAAGTTTCTTTTGTTACAGACGGTGTGCGTAGGACCCATCGCGCGCATCGTCCTTGTGATAAGGGGCTCTGTGATATCGAAAAGTTCGTCTTAGCTTTAAAACTAGTTAGTATTTAGTTATATTAAACAAAATGTCACCACCGCCGCCGATCGACCCCAACATTCTGCAGTTTGACATCTGGGAGACGTTGGACGAGGTGACCATGGAAATGACGCAGACGTCCGAATTCTGGACGCAGGTTGAGTACGAGGTCGATCGGCTCGATTTAGTACCGCCTGCGAATGTACAGTATTTGCAGGACAGTGATATTGACTGGCGGATAGCAGAAAGTCCTGAGGATCATAAGGATAACATCGTCCACCATGATTGCATGTGGGCGGGCTCATGTGTGGATTCCGTTCATCCGTCGAATACATTCGTGCCGTCTGACCTAATATCAGCTACGCCCGGTCAGAGTCTTCTGCGGCGCGATATTTCTCCACCTAGGCCGGAGACCCCGCCGTCTCTCGACGGTGACGAGCACCCGTGTCCATTTGAACATGTAGTGGACGTGGCTGGTGCGGCCCGGCGCCTCCTGCGGGATTCTGCTGCGGTCGCCGCCGACCACTCTTACACCCTCGCTCGGCAACGCATCGATTACCTTGGTGTTCAAACTCCATCTGACTCTTGCGAATCAGGTTAGTAGCTGTTTTAATGAAACTATAATTTTGTAGCTGATTTGAAATGAAAAAAGTATATGAAGCCTCTTAGGATAATAGAATTTGGAATATTTGAGATTATGACCTATTTATATGTTGTATATTTATTTTAAATTAAACGCTGTTATTTAGTTTCTGTTTCATAGAAATATACCGTAAATATACGGTTATTCGCAGTTTCCTATTTTCTAAAGATAAAATTGCTCTGTTTCAATAAGTATGTACCTAATATCCCTTAGGGGAATGGACAGATTCTTATTAAGTAAATTATTTACCGACAGTGAAATATAGGTATGTAACTGTGTAAGATGAGAGTAAGATGTCGTAGGACGCAGGCGTAGTTCCGCGAGCGCGGGAAACTGCGCGTATCGACCGTTGCGTTGCTCCCATCCTCCCCCCTCCGCCGTCTAGACGCACCCGCGCCATCCGGAACCTTCCCATTGCGACCTTGAACGTCCCAACCTTCCTTAATGTCAAACCTTAGACTGCTCAACCCCTGGATTGAATAATTGCAAAGTAGTTTCCCCAGAACAAAGTAATCTGCTCATTAAAGCGAGGACGTCCTAACAAATAACGTCGCGATAGTCTATTCAAAAACCGCATCGTTCTAAAGTTCAATTTGCTATGGATTATTCATTGTCTAGTTTAAAAATCAAGCAAGATGAAAAGTACTCGAGATGAGTGGACTATCTCGTCTTGTTTAAGTGATGTCGATGGTCAATTTGATCGCAGTGTGTTATTGTTTCAAAATAAATATAGGTATTATGCAGACGTTCTCTACAGTGTGATTAAATTATAGGCGCCTTAAATTTACATTATTTATTGTCTGACTAGACCGCAGTTATATATCGCATTATAGATAGGTACCTAAATTAATTTACAATGGAGGATAGGTCGCGTTGCACATTGCTTTAAATTATATTATAAAAATTAGACTAATTTGATTGTGAGCTGAAAATATAATTTGGTTTGCAAATATATCATGCATTCCGGCCCCGTCTCGTCCGTTAATCGCGCAAGAATGCGACGGAATGAAATGGAATCTCATTGAAGTGGAGCTCTGCTTGTCGGACCGGTTTGAAACGCGGTACTGCCATGTCTAGTCCAGCCGGATGACAATTTCTTAGATAGTGCTTTGATAAGCCCCAGTAAAGAAATATGCTAGCGTCGCCTTCAATTAAATCGGATAGTTTAAATTTTTTATTTATTTAAGAATGCGATAGTAACGGATGGAGCCGAGTTAAAGATTTGAAACGGTCCGTATCGCAGCGCTAGCGAGCGAACAAATTTACGACGCATGCGCAGTTTTATCGCGCCAAACGCCACCGTGTGAAGTAGGCACGAATCGCAGGCGGTCTCATTTTCGCGCCATGTTTGTTACAAATGCCATGATTATTGAAATTTATCGCATGGATTTTTACAACAATGCCCCAGTTACCTTAAAACATGGCTCTACGAAAGATAATATATCGATGTTTATTATCAAACTCTGAACGTCCTAAACCCTCCTTTTAGATTACCTTTATTGAAAAACGTGTTATTTTTGTGTTATAATAAATTGCGGGCCGTTTTAATTATAAAAGCGGCTAACCTAATAAACTTTAAACAGATAACAGAGTTAAATAGCGATAGGTGCTTTTGACCTGGACTTTATCTTGACAGATTGCGCGGTCGACTTTGTGATTTATTACTTTTAAATTCTAGGTCCCGCTAAGTAAACTAAGTAGGGCAGTAGCTATACTGTATGGATTGTAAAGTTCCTTTAAGGGTCAATTCAGGGCATCGAATCCGGCTTAGTCGCCTCAGTCGCTAAAGTCTGGCCAAATACCGCCCGTTAATAATTACTACAATCTTGTAGGTTTTCTTCGTAACACCTGATCTATTTTAAACTAATGACGTAAATGCTTACTAAGCAATATTAAAGCACAATCACTTGAATAAATATTTGTTTAACATAATTCAAACTCGTCGCTGTTTACGTAGCAACAGAATATTAAATTATTTTATCGTAGGTATTTTACGAGCGTCATTAAAGTTTGAGTGAAAAAATTAGCGCCCATTGGGAAACTTAATGTTTAAATCAACTATTTAAAATAATTAACAAAAAAAAAGTTAAAGTTACAGCCTATATACGTCCCACTGCTAGGAACAGGCCTCCTCATTTCCGAAAGAGTTAAGGCAAGGAAATGTCCGCTGCGTTGCGCCAATGCGTGTTGGCGAACTTCACATATCTTCGAAATATTTTTTTTCTTATATCTCGGACATGCATATTTCCTCGCGATGTTTTCCTTCACTGCCAGCACGTGGTAAATCAGCACTTAAAATTGCAATTAACAATTTCATTGGCGCCTGCGGAAACCGGGTTGCTCGCGTACTGTGAAACTTACAGCGAGCGCTAACCATATGAGCTACCACGGCTTGTAACCACGTAAATAGGTAATAGTGGTGGTATTTATATTTATTGCAATTTTATCGAGCTACCAGGCATATATGACCTCGGTCGCGTAGTTAAAGCAATTTGCGCGGTTCTGTTCGGCGTTTCAAGCGGTGACCTAAATATAGTTTGTACTAGTTTAGAAGCCTAACCTAGGCTTATACTTGTCACCGGCTCTTTTAAATTTAAACGAAACTGATTCATATCGACACGAATTAATATAATAAGAGCGATCGCCGGAAGTTATATCAACAGTACAGAGATGTTGTTCATTTATTTATCTGAACATTGGGAACTTTTTGGCTTTTGTAGCAAATAGTGTAATGTATAAATACTATTGATCATTAGTTATATATAAACATATTAAAATGATTTTAAGATCTAAGCTCTATATCTAAATAAAAAAGACAATTTCAATGACAAATCTATGTGTGTTAACAATGAATCATTTATACAATTTTTTTATTAATTCATATCGATAACTTTGAATAAGGCGTTATTATTCTAGACCGATAAGTTTACACATCAGTCTTCACGCTGCGTGTAGGTACATTGCCTGAGTAGTGTCGTAAAATAATCTGCTACCTATGTTGTATGGTGGGAATGACCTTGCTGTTATCGCTGCGGAATTGTTAGATATTTAAAACAATTGCTAAGAGTGTAAATATTTCGAATCGCGATAAAAACTAATGCGACGCTAAATGAAGCGTGGAAGTGTTGACTTGGTTACAACAATGTTTCAAACTTGCTACCGATTAAGGTAAAATAAACTTTATCCGCGTCTTTTTGGTTCTTACAAACTGATAACTAAGTGTGTGTGTTTGATGATGGCGTGTGAACTAACTGATCGGCGATGAAATGGCGACGAGCAACAGATATGCTTAATCGGAACGAGCAGAGCCTTGAACGAAGACTAGTGTTAATATATTGCCTTCTTGGCCCCATCGCGGCCTTGGTGAATCAAACTCCAATGCCGATAACAGTTACTGAGTTGTCACACTAACATAAATTTGTATTGTATTAAAAAAGTCTTATGCGCCGCAGCCGCTCGATAACGCGAACTCCGCAACAAGATAATTCAAAAAATCACCTTGATCTTACCGACCCTGTCATCCATTTAATAGTTAAAATTATATTCAAATTTTTATATCTCTTGATTTTCCATATTCGCATAAATTATTTCACTCGTCCATGGGAACATAAAGTTGTTATAGATTACGCTATAGTGCTTTAAATTATTATTTCATTAGTTCTGTAGTATTCATGTATATACATATATGATCAAATATAACTTTCCAATTAGTCGATTTTCCGATTAGTCGAAGTATAAAAAAGTTGGTTGTAATCTATTAATATTAAATTTTCTTTTAACTACTCCATGTGCCATAAAGTCAAGTTTACGAACAGACGAAACTAATTTGTGACGCAATATAGGTTGTATCTTAATAATAACCATTACAAAGCTATTTATATTTTGAGTTGTATGACATTTGCGATGATTCTAACAATATTTCCGCCATTTTGATGAAGCGGTGGAGCTAACAAGAGATTCGTTTTACTGCGTATTTGGAATTAATTTAAATAATTAGTCAAACTACGTATTAAAGCTTACGTAAAATTTATTTGATGAAATTATTCGTACAAAGAAAAGCGTATTCGTATAGTATTGTTGTATATTATATCCCTTTTCTGTTTAATAAAAAAATTAAATCGTTGAATCCGATTACATTTATTAGCGTCCAAATACTTGTCCGAGTAGTCTATATCTTTTTTACGTTATACGTCCGCCCGTGAACTTCCTTACCAACCTCGCCAAGGCCGAACGCCCAATCGATCGCCATGGTACACCGGCCCATAAATTATCACTGCCTGATTTAGAAGGCGGCCGGTCTCGAGTACCAAACACTGCCTAGATGACCGACTTTTCACGGTTGCGTAATACGCCAAAAATACTTTCGACGTAGTTCAGCGA